ACCTCTTTGCTATGCCATAGAGGGAGCATGGAAATACATGGATTTCTTTACCTCAGGCCTTGAATGTGTTACCGTGCTCTTTCCCTGCTGTGTGCAGAGGGATTCTGCCTTTATTTTTTCACCTATTAAGGCATCTCTCTGTCCATTTCAAGAAATAATACCATAGTTTATCAGACAATTGCCTATATGGAGATGAGGCTCCATTCTGCTTTTCCTTTTTCTCAAACCCAAACACTGCAGTCTGCCTTCCCTATGCCTGGCAGATAGAGAAATATCTGTCTGGGAGAAATGCAACCTTAATTTAAGACAGAGGGAATAAAGTCGAACCAGGAGGGAATAAAAAGCATTACAGAAATTGCCTAGACTCTGAGTAGCCCTTCAGTTGGTGAGGATCAGATACACATTCCCCTGTCACTTTGCAGTGTCTAGGCTGTATTTTATCTGCTTCTGAATCTCAGTTCCTTGGTAACATCAATCACGTATGCCATACTGTCTTCTTTTACCTACAGCTGCCCTATCTATTATGGCAATCCCTCTTTGATTGACAGTTATCTGTTTTTTTCTGACCTGAGGGCAAGCTTATTGCAATGCGCTCCTTTTAGTGCAATCACTGAACATGTCCAAAAGCTTCAACTGGTGCATAATGTGGCGGTTCAGCATTTGAATGAAGTGAGCACATATTGTTGGGAGCACACGTGGGTTTTGTTGCTCTGCCACATCTACCAGTTAACAGAAGATGCAGTTCAAACCACGTTAAGTGGTAGAAATGCCTCAGTGGTCTGAAAAGCTGTTGTTTGCAGAGAGTGCTTTGTTCTACCTGCATCCAGTTGCTATGACATGCAGTGTTGTCTGTTCGGTCAGTTCCAGAGATTTTAATGGTCAGGAAAAGACATCCCAACTCACTGCTCTAGGACAGCATTCCCTTGTTGAGGATGAAGAGTTTCCTGCTGTAAAACATCTGGTCAAAAAGCACAAACTTCTGCAGCTTGATTTCTATGGTCCATGAATATACAAATCTAGGAAACCTCCCCATATTCAGGGGATGGACTGCATTCACTTCCTAAGTCCTCGCATTTCGATACTGAAGAATGAAAATTATGCCTTTCATTGCACTTCCTACTGGTAATTTCCACCTTCTACATAACCCTTCTATATCCCCGTGTAAGGATGCCATTTGCCACTGGGGTTCCTTTACCATCAAGGTTCAAATTCCTGGTGAGCTCAGATACGAGGCATTTGCAAATTTCTTCCTAAAATGCCAGGGAAGGCAGAAACGGAATAGGAGCTGGGACTGGCACTTTTTGTACACACCACAGTTCTTGTTCTTCATCACAGTTGTCAGTCTGCATTCAGCAGAGTAGAGCAGCCCTGGAGGCCAGGCATGGCTCAGGGGAACCCTGCACACTAGTTGGAGCACGGAGGATGGGCTCATTTGTTACTGTGGGTACTGGGACATGTGGAGACGGGGTGACAAAACCTGGAGATTTTAATGGCTTTTGATATCAGCTTTTCCTCTGCCCCGTGATAAATGGCAAGAAAGTTGACCCTCTCCTTCCCAGCTCCTCCAGGTCAGGCCTGGGAGTCCATGGGAGGAGCAGGGGCTGCATTGGAGCTGCTTATGCAGCATTTGTTCTGAGGGACAAAGCAGGAGCCGCCTCTGGATCTGTCATTTCTCTCACAGCTCCCGAGTGTGGCATTTTAAAACAGTGAACCTTGGAACATTGTTCATGTATAAGTTCTTGGGGTTTGCACAGTCATGTCCAGCGTAGGCATGTTTCTCGATGCTGTCTGTCTCCATGGATTCAGAGGTGACACCATGTTTGTATGTTGCCTCTCTTACACTACCACCCCTGTGATTAAGGCAAAAATCCTGAGTCACCGTCAAAAAAAATTAAAATTTCCGGCAAACCTGTAGGCAATCTGTTAATGTGGGCAGGCAAGAAGATACTGGGTAGGAAAACTCAGTCATATGGCAGTGTTTCTATCTGTCACCACAGCCATTTCTTTTAACCATGCTTAATGACATTTTAATTATTGTCTAAATTCTTTTTCTTTAAGAAATTGTAACAAACAGCAAGCCTGATAAGGCAAAAATCCTGAGTCACCGTCAAAAAAAATTAAAATTTCCGGCAAACCTGTAGGCAATCTGTTAATGGCAAGAGGCAAGAAGATACTGGGTAGGAAAACTCAGTCATATGGCATATCTCTCTCCATGGATTCAGAGGTGACACCATGTTTGTATGTTGCCTCTCTTACAACCACCCCTGTGTGATTAAGGCAAAAATCCTGAGTCACCGTCAAAAAAAATTAAAATTTCCGGCAAACCTGTAGGCAATCTGTTAATGTGGGCAGGCAAGAAGATACTGGGTAGGAAAACTCAGTCATATGGCAGTGTTTCTATCTGTCACCACAGCCATTTCTTTTAACCATGCTTAATGACATTTTAATTATTGTCTAAATTTTTTTTTTTTTTCTCCCCCCCCAGCCATTTCTTTTAACCATGCTTAATGACATTTTAATTATTGTCTAAATTCTTTTTCTTTAAGAAATTGTAACAAACAGCAAGCCTGTAGTGAAATGATTCCTTGAAATGAGACTATTCCTCAAAGTCACTTTGTGAATATGCAAATCCCATCTATATTTTAAAATGTCATTCATTTTACTGTTAGAGAAACCTCTATCAAAAATCAGCAGATCCCTTTTGGAAAAAACTTGAATTGTCTTCTCTCTGGGACTCAGGTGATAGCATGTGAACTGCGTCACATTCCTGACAGAATACCTGGCAGGTATTATCGATGCTGACACATGGTGGCATACAGCAGCTGCCATTTGATACAATGCAGTAGAAAGTGCCCCGAGTCCAGTAATGTCTACTTGCAATATGTCTTGCACAGTATAAAGATACAGTCTGTTACCACTTCTGACAGTCACAGCAGCTATGACTTCCTTCTCCATTTCTACCAGAAAGCAAGGGACTCCTCAAAATTAGAATCCCTTTGCGTTCCTAGCCTGCGAAGGCAGGGATATTCTTAGCAGTACCCTGTGGATTAATATTCACAACAAACTAAAAATATCAGGCCAATGCATACATTGATCTGCTGTTCTAACCCTAAAAAGCTGTGCCTAGCACTGGTTTCTTACATATACTGGCTGTGACCACAAACCTTTCCTTGCCTGTACTGAATTTTTAATTTCAGAAATAATCTAAAAGAGGCAAGTAGCTCTAAGGACTATGGTGTGTCCTTAAATGGCAAGTTCTGCCCAAAAACCTGGTGACACAAGAAGGTGGCTTGCTAGTCAATGTTGTTTGCAACAAAAATGGAAAAAAAGAAAATCACTTCTTTCACTAGAGGAAGACCTAGTTCATGGATGAGCAGGTTATAACTAGACAATGTGTTAGTAAAGGATATTGAAGACTGGCAGTCTCTGGCCCTTAACTTCATGCAGACCCCTGAAAAATACCCCTCCCTGAAATGGGAGACTTGTTAGTGGGGAAGGGCACTTTCACAAAGATGTAAAAAGCAGAGCGGGTGGCTGAATCTCCCAAGACTTGAAAATGTAAGGGGTTTTTTGCCTCATGCAAGAAACACTGTCCTTTTTAGTTTGTGCTGCTTGGGAAGCCGTTAGAGATGACCAGAAAGCAGTCACACTGCTGTGAGCAACAAGAGCGAGAGAAGTGTTGTGTTCCCTGGGTCCCTCCATTCAGTAATGAGCTGTTCCTTAATTCTCTATCCTGGCCCTTGCTGCAGCCTCTTCTCCATCTTCCACCACCTCCAAAGGCTCCTTCTCAGCGTGCCAGGGCTGGGCAGAGTCCAGTCAATCTGTCAGATTTGGCAGGGCACATGATAGAGTATTTACATAAGTTGTATACTTCTACGACAGATTCCTCTCAGCAACTGGAGGACAGAGGATTTCTCAGCTGGCATAGAGTTAGAGCAGTGTGTACAGATAGTATCTGCTCTGGCCTAAAGCCTTGTGTGACAGGCAAATCTGAACCAGCACAATGGCTGCATACCTGATCAGCTCTTTCTGTTTTACAGCAGAGGTGTTTCTTACCCTATGTCAGAGACCAAATTCTGGATCTCCCTATACTATGTAAGTATGGCTCAAGGATTTTCAAAAGCTTGAGGTGCAGCACAGACCCTATAATCCCTCTCTTGAGAAGCCTTTCAAGCCTTGCATGGGGAGCATGCCTTGGCTTCAGCTCTTGCTCTGCCACAGCGTGGTTTGGCCAGAGACCAGCTGCACCTGCTGGAGAGAGACTTCAGGCTTGCAAGAAGGAAGAACATCCTTTTGGTACACTTAGCAGCAGCAGCATAGTATTGTGGGCTTTCCCTTGTGCTTGAGGGCACACCGTATGTATGCAACTGCAGGACAGGGTATGTCTGTCTGCCCTGTGACTTAACGTTGCAGATCTCTGGCTTTCTCGTGTGACCCCCTGCGTAGCAGCTCACACATCAGGACTCCAGTAGAGAGCTCTGCCTAATATCCAGTTATCACTCCAGAGGGGAAGCAGGACATAATTTTTATGCTGTCATTATATAGCAAGAGAATTTCATGACCTGGTATTGAGGAATCTGAGCTGAACGCTGCCGGCAGTTTGTGGCCAGGCAGCCATATCCACCGTGTTGTTCCAAATGTGGCAGATCCTGGAGTGGGAGAAGGAAAAATTTTCCCTGCTTCAGCTGGTGTGAAAACTGCTGCACCTGGGTGGAAGATGGGGCTTCAACCTTTGCACGGGACTTGTAAGACTCAGTGAATGTGATACCTGCTATACGTGGCCCCTGGTTTGGTCAATTGTGTAATTTAAATTCTTGTTACTCTTAACTACCACACTGAAGTGAAGATTAAGAACAATGAAACTAGAAAACTGAGAAACCCTGAGTATATATCAGACTCCGCTGCTGTAAGTGTCCCTCTGTAAAAAGGGAACAGATGTTACTTATTTCACATTTAATTTCAGACTTCCCATAAGCACTCACCTTCTCAATGCAGATGTGTTACTGGTGGTTCCTCCCTGTCACTGCTGTGTCCAGGGTTGCTGCCTCTGGGTGAGGGGACAGAGCGCTTCCTCCAGCCAGGCCCCTGCAGGGGGTCTCTGCATAACTCCACGGCCCTGGGCTGCACTGCGCGGCCTCCTTAGACTGCAGCGAGTCAGCTGGAGAGACGGTGGTGCTGTATGAAGCTTGCGACAAGGTAGCAGGTATGTCTGAGCAGACAGAGTTAAAGAGAGGTAAAAATGTTGGTCTACTAAGAGTTGTAGCAGGGGCAGAGTCACTTGGACTAAGATCAAATGTAAAGTCTTTTAAATAGGAGAGCGCTTGATTATTTAGCTGGGCATATTCAAAATTTATCTTGCTTCTAGTAACCTCATCTAGGATTTTTGCTCTACTTTTCTCATCTTCAGAGCAAATTTGCTCCACATTTTGCTTCAAATTATACAGACTGCTGGATTGGAAACTTGTCTCATAGTTGTATTGGTTTGTGCTAGGAATACTGGAGCATTCTGGATTTTGGGCAATGCAGTTGCATTCATTTTGTAACAATAACTTGTTTTTGTACTGAGATATCTTACGAATGATATTATTAATTTCATTCCCAATGCATCTGTCTTCGAGGTGCTTGTTTTCATAGCTGATTTTTAATGATGCCACTTGTGTTACACAGCGCTCTAAGAGCTGCACTATGTTAGTGCTGTCCTCTGTTGGTGTGGGGCTAATGTAGCTCTGGAAGCGTCTGAGAGCAAGAGGCTGCAGCGGTTTGTCACAGGAAATAGAGAGAGTGTGATACATTGGTTTATTTCTGTCCTCCCTCTCAAGGGGATCCAAGAGTGAGGTCGCAGCAGTCTTGTAGGAGTAACATGATTCTACTTCGTGATTATCATCTAACAAAGGGTTTTCAGAGCTCTGAGAGCCACTCTCTCTGTTCAGCTTTTCTGGCTGTGGGTTTTTATCTCCGGATGTCTCGCATCCTTCTGAAATTGTCACCTTCTTATTCTCAGTTGAAGATGTCTGCAGATTGTCTCCGTTAGCCTGTGATTGTGGTGCATAACTTGATGCTCTGGTGGCTTCTACAGTCCCAGGCACTGTAGATGAATCCTTGTGGTGACTCCCTTCATTTCCTTGGAAATCCAAATTAGATGTGTTAGGGCAAGATTCCAGGCTGTGGTCTCTTTCAGCAACGTTTACTGAAGAGGCCTGGGTTGCATGTTTGCTTTCATCCAAAGACACACATAGGTTAAATGTATTAGATTCTTCCTTGTTTGGTTTCTCCTGCTGAGCTTCTGTGCTCACTTTCTGCTCTGGAGTGGGGCTGGGTGGGATCAATGAATCATTGGACTTTTCTGTCTGTGATTGAAGACTGGGAAGAGAGTCAGGGGAGGAAATGAGTCCCGAGTGTTTTCGCAGCCAGTTTATTATTCCCATGGTCAGTGAAAGCTCAGTATCACAAAGCTTTAGCAAACATTCTTTGCCTTTCCATGTGCTGTGGAAAAAACCCTGGCTGATAATGTCTAGAGCTGGTTGGGAAGCCATGTTCTCCTCAGCTCCAACATGAAAGCTGTAAATGGACAAAGGGATTTCAATGGCTTGTTCTGAAATGCTTTCAGATGTGCACAAGTCATCATCTAGGACTGGGTTTATTTTGACTTCATTTGGGTCATAGAAGAGCTCATAAAGGGCATCTCCGCTGTAACTGTCTCTTGGAAATCTACCTGGGACCCCAGGGGTCTGAGCTTCCTTCATGTCATCATCTTGCCCAGGAGAGAATGAATCATAGTAGCCTTCATCACTTGTGGATGTGGATTCCTGGTTGTCACTTTTTGGCGTTTCTGTTTCTGTGGAGCTCTCTTTGGAATTGTCACCATCTTTATTAGGTGACACTTGGGGGTCTGTCACAGATGTAGCAGCCTGGCTTGTAGCCTTTTCCACCTCAGGACCAGGTATCTTCAGTAACTTCTTATCGAACAGAGCGCTCTGATGTAGCCTCACTGATTTGTTGATGTTGTCCCAAAACTTTGCAAATTCAACAGTCTCATTCTGGCCAGGAGAGGCCAGCTGCTCCACCCCCCCTTGGAAAGAGCCCATGACGGGGCTGTCTTTGCACTTGCTTCGTCTCAGCAGAACTTCTTTGCTGTTCTCCAGCTCCAGGTGAGCAGAGCTCTCATCAGCAAAAATTTCCCCACAGCCAGTGAGGGAATCAAAGCTCTTCAGCGAGGCAACATCTTCACACAGGGTGTTGCAGCAGTCATAGGAAGAGTCAGACTGCAGTTCACTGTCTGAGCAGTCTTGTGACAAGCAATCAGCTGCAAATGTTTCTCCGGTTTTGAAAAGATACTTTGCAAGACGCCCAGACAACTCACTCTTGCAGCCTGGAGAGGACAGATTCTTGTCCTTCTCAACCAGGAACGTGAGGCTCTCTGGTTTATTTTTTTTTATATGAAATATATCTCTGAGCCCTTTCTTAGATCTCTTGAGGGAAATCCTCTTCCTGGGAATGGTTTTTGCGACAGCTGGTACAAAAGGCATCTGTGGCACAAAGTTCCTGTAATCGATCATCTGACTGCTGCATGCAGACTGGCTGGGGCTGACCACACACTCTTTCTTACTGCTGGAGCTGGACATCCCTGAAAAGCTGATGCTATTGACAAGTCGGCCCTTACCCTTTCCAGAAAAACCTTCCTCACAAATCATGCTGCTGGGGCTGCAGTCCTCTGTTTTGTCTGCCTCAGTAACACAGTCATGGGTTTTACTCTTCCTTACGAGTTTGTAGGAGGACCCAGGTGATTTTTCCAGGCAGTTGTCACCAGCCCCATTCCTCGCTGTTCTGGTTGAAAATCTGTAGTTCTTGTGCGTGGCCAAACATGCCAGCTGGACTTCAGCTACACTTTGGTTTCCCTCCAGAGCTGCCTTTTTGTCTTTCCCTGTATCATCTTTGTTGATAGGAACTGTGTGCACTGGTGGCACTTTCTCATGTTGCACGCTGGATTTTATGAAGGTCTTTCCCCTCTTGAGCTCCATACTGCTTCCTCACATCTGTTTCTGTAAAGAAAACAGCAGAATACAAATATTGTGAGGTTGATGGCTAGCACTTGTAAACTTTGAAAACAACTGGAGAACAAAGGGACGGATATTAAGCATTGTACAATTGATTTTGTTTGTCACCAGAAACTTCCATCACTGAGTCATGGTATTGCATGAGAAACAGATCAAGTAAAACTGAAGATATGTTGGCAATGGTTGCAAGATCCAGCAAGGAGAAGACGATATACATTATGGGTTGGTAGCTGAGGCTCAGAGAACATTTTGTCTGCTAGAAATGAGGGGGTTTGGATTTAGGACTATGACTTCAGGATGGCTTTTAACAAGATAGAGGTCCTGTTCTGAAAGTAGAAGAGGCATCAGTGAAAAGCAATGCCTGAGGAACTTTAACATGTGTGTGTATCAGGGAGGCAGCAGTTCATAAATCTGTACCTTTGAGGAGGATGAAGAGCTCAAGGTGGGAAATCTCCTAAGAAAATGGATCAAACGTTTGACACATGATGCTCACTTTATATTAAAATAATCCTTACCTGTGAATAGAAAATCCATAAACCTTGGTACTACCCTGGGAAGCATGCTGAAACTGAATTACTGTTTTTGCTTCCTCCTGAGTATAATGTATAATTCTCTGCACTACTACTTTTGTTGTAAAAAGTAAAAAATGCCACATTGAAAGTCACTGTTAATTATGACAGAAGCATTGTTTCCGATTTACAAAGACCAGTGTAGTACTCTGAGGCATTGCCACATTAAATCTGCATTGTGCATTGATTAGCTATTTCTAAAAATACTCTATTACCCGTATCAATGCCAATTTTGGTCTTTGCCTATATGGTTTACTATTGAATCTGTTTTATGTTTTCATACATCTAATTAGTCATTAATTATTTTAGCCATGACACTCAGTTTTCCAGCAGTTATTTCATGGACACATCTGATCCTTTCCTCCCTTCTATCAACTTGAATATTGAGTAAGTCAATGGACTTACTTACATAAAGGTAGGGCAGGGAAGAAGCAAGCACTTCCTAAAAGCTGTTAGAGAAACCAGATTTTTACTGGATGGGAAGCAGGACAAAAACTCCAAGTCCTGTACTTGAAAGAATGTGCTTGGATCTTTCCTTAATGAGACCTCAGTTAATGACTTATCTTGTTTTGAATTGTGTAGACATAACTGAAACTACTTGGAGCCATTGAACTCTGCAACACACACAAACAACACAGTGCTATCTCTAGCAGTCCTTGACAAACCGTATGTAACAGCTCTGGTGAAATAAAAAATTACCAACACTCCCGTGAGAACAATCTCAGATCAGATCCCTGGATCCAGACCTGCACCCAGTACAAAGACAGCCAGGGAGATTTTAAATTCAGCACCAAGCCTAGCCTTTGTACACTCTTAAAGTACAACTTAAAGCAGTCTTTAGTCTACCTTGAACTGTAACAGCTGTCTGTAGCCTCCAGAGGCTTTCCAGTTGCCAGGGCATGCTGGGAACAGCAACAGTCTGACCAACACCTCACAAGATACAGGTCTGTGTATCTGGGAGTTCTGTCACCTGCAGCGCTTCTCCAGCAGGCAGATCAGTTACAGCCTGTTTCTTATAGAAGCTGCAAACTGGCATGCCATTAGCAATATTTACAACTAAATGTAGGTCAGTGACAAATGGTAGAAAACGTAAGGATAAAGTGTGAATATTCGACACCAAGAGTATGGATGCTATGGAAAACATGGTGGATGGTGATAGATGGGCGTCTATCAGTATGATTGAGATGTTGGCACATTTATTTGCATTTGGGGCTGCGCATTTGGGGCTGCACATGAGTATGCAGAGCATTCCTAATGAAAGCCAGTAAACATTTTACTACATTGTCAGGTATCTGGAGTGCACTGATGCTACAGGAAACTTGTTTTGCATATTTAGAAATAGGTCACTGGGACATGATTACACTCCTTTTCTGAAAAGCAAGGTGTGATTGAGAAGAAATTCAGTGTGCAGAACTCCAGCAGAGTTGTGAAAATGATCAGAAACAACTGACGCAAGACCAATTATTAATATCCCCAAAATAAAGTGTCTGACACCTCAGTCCTTTGTAATTGTACTGTGTCCCTGTGGGAAGTCCTGCTGCTGAGAAGCTCCTTAGAAGTCTGTGACATGACAAATGCTAGCATTATAACGATGTTATGTAGGACTCTTTGAAGTCCTACAGCTGTTTCTGCCCACTCTGAGTATTAAGCAAGGGTCATTTCTGTAATTGCATACTTGGGAAGTTTTTCTGTAGATGCATTAAAAAGGCTTTTAGAGGTGGATTTGTTTTATTATCAAGTATGAAACTTATTAAAGCTAAGAATTCAGGACATCATTAGATAATCTTTTGAATAAAGAAATCTTTGATCTGAATTGTATCTCCTTTATAAGAAAAACAATGGACTACCAGTTTGATAACTGGGGCTAGAAACTTCAAGGCTTCTTCTGCCTTTTTGTATAGATTAGATGAACAGTCTTAACATGAAAGCCCAAATGGCCTGAATAACACCTGTACTGAGAATATATGTAGTATAATAATGTAAGATACACTGATGGTAGCCTATGCTACCTTTTCAGTTTCCTCTGATGAGGAAAAAATAAGTTAGGTGGTTTTTTTTTTTTTTAATCTACTATATATATAATCACCAACTTTGTATTCTAATTGTTTAATGTCTCTATTTAATCCCATATATTCTTTTTCTCATTTTCCCCCAGGATTCATGCCAGACTAATTAGTATCTAGTTCATTGTGTCATCCTGCTTATCCTGTTTGAACACTGGCACAGCTTCGGGAATCTTCCCCATTAAAAATGCTATTAAAAATGAACACCAAGAAAAGGAAGATCTCCTCAGCCAACTCTTTGAGAGCTCTTAAGGGCAGACTACCAGAGTCTGCAGATTTTTTAAAATATTCGTCTCAGATGCTGTTTTGTAACTTCCCATACTATGAGTTCCTCTTCATCCTCATATGATATTAATTATCAATGAGCTTCTTTCCAAATATAGAACAGAAATATTTATGCAATGCCACTCTCTTTCTATATCTATTAATACTTTTAGCACTTTTGGTTGTAATGGACTATACCATGATACCTTTTTTCCCTCTCTGCAGGGACAAAACCCCAGAACCTGTACCAGTGACGTTAGAAACAGATTAAAGTGCTGTAAGGGAAAGTTACCCTTCAGTGGTTATGTAAAGCTAATCAAAATTCTGTGAAAAATTATTCTAGGCATTTAAAAAATGGTACATCTTACTTGGGATTTCTTGACCCATGCACTCAGCTACACTATTGCCTGTCTCTGCTTCTTTTTAATTATTCTCCTCTTGGACTTAACTTGCAGTATATCTCTTCTTCCACAGGGATAAATGGTGTATGAGGGACAGACTTCCACCTTTGCAAAGGAAATTTATTTGCAATTAAAAATCACTGTAAAGAACAGAAACCTGTGGAAATTAGCAGTCAGTCTACAAAGGCTAGGTTGTTTTGTTTTCAGCAGGCTCAGGATGTTTTCTTCATTAATGTTACTTGACCTCTTTTTTTAATATCTGTGAAATTACTTATGGAACACATGTTTAAATGGAGGACATCCTGAATCTTGTACTGGGCTACAGTTTAATTGTCATTTACAATGATCTTAGGTGCAGCAGCATTGAGACTTCCCAGCTACAGTAAACAGTACTTTTATCTGTCTTGATCATACCAGCTGCTCACTTTCAGAATTTCACAAGTGTCTGAGCAGGCAATTAGATCCGGATTTTGGGCTTATACTATAATGGAAATAAGGTTTTGGTTTAAATTTGTATAATATTGCTCATAAAATGCAGCGATACTTCATGCTCAAAGATATACCATCTGTGCAGGGTGTCTGACAGCCTTTTCATAAACACAGAAGGTTCTACTGTGTCTGTGATTCATCTAAAAGTAAATTAAAGTTTTAGAATGGGAAGGTGAACACGTTCCTGTGGGCTGAGGAGACGTGGTTTTAGGACAGTCAAAGCAATTGCTTATAGTCCTGGGTTATGAGGACCTGAACAAGACTGAGTTAGGTAACTGTTCTGGTTAATAGGAGCCATATTCGGGTGGCCTAAATTCTACCTAAGTCCAGGTCAATAGACAAGGAGGCCAAAGAGGGGTGCAGCGGAGCTGGACCGGCTATTCATTAGGAAGCAGGAGGAAGATGGGTGGAGGCAGGATTCAAACTGTCCAAATTTTGCCTCTGACATGTGGGTCAGAGAAGAGAGAGGTCACACTTGCCTCTGCCCATGGCCCCCAAAGCTTTCTGCCAGGCTGAGCTGTCTACAATTTTCCCTCTCTGGAGGAATGGAGGAAGACTTGCTTTGGTTTTTGGGCTGGTGTCAAAGTTATTATCTTACATCTTACTAGCTTATCTCACAGTGGAAAGGTTTGTTTAGGTTATCTTCTAAGAAAAGGTAAAATATATTGTGCTTTAATGTGTCAGTAGCTAAAATAGCAGTCCTCTTGGATGTAACTCTAGGAAGATCATCCTACTGGGAAAGTAGAAGTATCTGCTTCAGTGAGGTTGCATGGATAGAAATAATAGTATTACGAAGAGGAAATTTAGATTAACTCTCTGGCTTTGGCAAGTTTGGCTCAAAATTACTTTCGCTTAAGTAGGAAAAAATATAATTAAGGTTCATTTATTCCAAAATTTTATCAGCTGTCTGTCTTGGACACTCTTACTTGCTTGTTTGATGTGTAATATATATAATTGTCTCTCTTGGAGACAGAAATAAGCAAAATTCAGAATACAGTCATTGTTTTGCAGGGGAGATAGGAGTGTTCTTTCTGCTTCTTTACATTTAGTTCATTCTTAAAATTGGCAGGTTGTGGAGCAGAAATAAGCAAAATTCAAATTACAGTCATTGTTTTGCAGGGGAGATAGGAGTGTTCTTTCTGCTTCTTTACATTTAGTTCATTCTTAAAATTGGCAGGTTGTGGAGATGGTAC